AATTAATCTAATAAGTTTATACGCTCTCACGCTCCACATAGATAATACTAACCACCAGTCAAGGAAAATAATTGAAACAATCTAAATTTAACAGAGATTTGGAGACATCTTAATCAATAAAATGTAGTACTCATGTTTATCACATAAACCCATAAAACGTTTTATTAGTTTGATATCCAAAATCATAAGATGTTGGTGTGATAGCATCTTGTTGTCCAATCATGCTCCAATAACACTTATAGATAAGTAGTTAAACCCCACTCCATTTAGATTTAGATTTCAAGCAAGTTGGCTTCAAAATTCTGATTTAGTTGAATTTTTAGATTGAAATTAAATTGAGTATATTCATTTTAATACAGACAGGGAAGGTGGGAAGCCTTTAAGGCCTATAGGTGATATAATGAGCACAAGATTTTAATCCAAAGAATACTATAGACATTTGGGAAAACTTAATCAGCAAATTAAAGAAATGGAACTACAAGTCTTTAGAGATGATCCCGGTAAACAAAGAGAACTTATTTTATTAACGAACTGACTTGTAATAGGTGCGGCAGTGGCTCAAGTGGGTTGTGTACAAACCGAAAGGTTGGTGGTTCAATCCTCGGTTCCACCTGATCAAGTGTCGAGGTGTCCTTGAGCAAGACACCTAACCCCAGCTGCTCCCGACCAGCTGGCTGGCGCCTTGCATGGCTGACACCGCCGTTGGTGTATACATGAATAAATGTATGAATGGGTGAATGTGGGGCAAACGTAAAGCGCTTTGGTGGCCATTAGGTCCATGAAAACGCTATATAAATGCAATCCATTTACCATTTAATAAAATAGCAAAAAATTTGGTGTGGTTAAAACAATTTACTGGCCTTGAAAATAAAAGAGAACAGAGCTATAAACTCAATAATGTTAGATTAATAATGCTTAAAAAATAGCCTATACTGTGAAAACGTATATAGTTCCGAATGTAGCAAAACAATTTTCTAGATTTACTTAAATTCCCCCAATTGACAGAAGATGCTAAATTTTATTTGGTAAATAGTTTAAGTATTTAGGAATTATTGGACACTGTACAATGTATGAATAGTGGAAAGACTCTAGGCCAGACTTTTTACCCCTAAGCAAAGAAGAAAAAATATATTTGTTGGAAGTATATGGGGTTGAGAGGGAGCAGCAAAAAAAAAAAAGGTGAAATGATTTGAAAATGGTGGTAAAATTATGAGAGGGGAAAAAATCACGCAAAATCAGTATTCTACAGTTTTATAGACACATATCAAGCAAAATAGCATGATTCTTGTCTTTATTCACATTTTATTTATTCATATTTTACACAGCAATGCAGTGAAGTGTTGCAAAAAAAATCAGCTCACTTTTTGTGCACTTGACATTTGGTTGCTACATAACTTTTATAAAGCATTGTCTCAAGAACAAATTTGGTTAAAGTACACATTAGAAAACATTTGAGCTCAAACTAGATTTCCATATGGTTCTTGGGGCTGCTACTTGGAAGAAGCAGAAAAAAGAACGGCTGGGTGCGCTTGGGCCCTAATTATCCAATCTCAAATGACTGATATGCTCATAAAGTCTTCACCAATACCCACTCTTATGCTCAGGCAATTCCTTGTGGCAAGCTAAAGATGAACTAGCGCATCAGTATAAAATCAATCTTCTTTTGGAAGCCACCACCTATTTGTTTCTTTCTTTCTCATCAGTCCACAGGCGAGGGTGACGGATTTTTTAAAACCTATTCTGCAAAAATACACCAGGGAATACCACAGAATTTGACACATATGCCACAACACTTATCTTTCTTTACATCCTGCTGCTAGGCTGGGTGTAAACACTGGTGTTAAGTGTCAGAAGGCTGACTGTTATTGGAGTTGGCTTTTCTGTTCCATCCTGTTAACAGCTGGGTGATTTAATGATTCTTTCTGTTCTCACACGTTATTGGTGATCTCAGAGAATCCTCTCTCTCCACTGAATTTACCTTGATCTCTTCAGCCTTGTGCTCTTCCAGGGGTCTGGCTTTCAGATTAGAGATCATGGACCTGTCATTAAAACTTCAATTATACTAAAACTGAGCTCTTTCCCAGCTTCAATGGGAATGCTCATCTGTCCTTTGCCAATTTCCGCTTACAACATGAAAAGCATTTTCTCTTTTCCGATCAAATGCACAAAACCCTTTTTATCTTATAAATGGATATTTCCAATGTAAACCTCTTTTTTGCCAACTACTGCTCAGGGCCGGAAAGTACTAGAGGCCTTTAGCTTGGCCTAGATTTTCTACCACAGTGTTCCCTTGTAATGCTAAATTTAATAATCATAACACAATTTTGTCTTCGTAAAATAATCACCAGTCATTTCAGTGGCAGTCTAGACTCACTTGGTGCCCAAGGGGAAGATGTGTGATAAAGTGGCATAAGTTTCATTACTCTCAAGGAGACCCTGCTCAAAACAATACATAACTTTTAAATAAAAAATGAAAATAAAAAAAAAACAGAATTTAAACATCCTGAATCAGGATGGTCCGGATCAAACACAGAACACTGCACATATTTATACAAGATTTTTTCAAGGAATCAACTAAGGAATTGTTGTATTAAGTTAGTATGTAAGATAGTATTATAACATGACATTATAACAGTATTATATAGTATTACAACAACAAAACATTTTTTAAAGTGTCTTTGGAGCCACTAAACATCAGACGTAGTCAACATCGACTGAATGGGGATTTATTTGAAAACGCCACTAGTCTAGGCTACCTTCCAGTGCCTAGACAGAAGCCTCCTGAACCCGCCGTCGATTTAAGGTGGAAAAGCCACGGACTCGCCGCAGGGAGCCGTATCGTGGAATAATACACATATGGGATCACTGCAGGGATCACAACATATGAACCCCAGCCTAGCACAAGTTAGCACAGGCCGGAAGAAATAGTGGAATGAATCGACCTCAGAAGCTTCTGACTCCAAGGAGGAGGTTTCAGGCGATTTGTAACATGCAAGGGAAACGTAGCATTAACAGTCGCAATGTTGTGTTTTCAGAACAGTACAAATTCGCTGAGTAGCGGTTTCTCAAAGCGAGATGAACTGTTAGCAACTCGAAGCAATGGATGCCAATGCAATCGGAGGGCCGCCCAGACCTCCATTACTGCACCGTTGGCCCGGAGAAATAAAATTTCTGTTACGGACTGAGGGTTTGGCAGCAGACCAGGGTGCTTTCATATGGAGCGTGCCGCGAAATTACTCGGCCGTGAAGTCAGTGCTGAAGCGGAATTCATATGGAGCAAGCCGAGCGGCTGCGTCTACCATACCTCAGGAGCCTCTGAAGAGTTTCAGTGAGACCCTTTCTCACTTCTATACAGCACTAGCCATCTCACACACTATTTTTTAGAGATGCGGTTGCCAGAATCCATCTCCAAACTAGAAAAGAGATTACTCTTTCCCAGTTGACCTGAGGACCCAACTGGCTATGAGCACTTGAAGGGTAGGACTTTGTACTGATACTTCACACCTTTCGAACACACAAACACAGGATGTCCTGTGGTGAAGAAGTATAGTGATCTGAAGTACGTCTCTCAGGTTGAAAGCTGCATACCAATCTTGGGGACAGAGCATTTGGAAATGCATCTCTGTGTAACAAGTTGAATGGAGGCTTTCAAAAAAGGGCCTATCTCAATTAACACTGGACCAAGATGGTCGTAACCCGCCTCTCTAGGGTACAATGAAGTACAGGCTTATAGAGGCTGCATCTCCACCTTCATTTCAGCTGGAGGGAGAGGCTGCATCACGTCCTTTGCCAGAAGACTGTGATATGAGCACATAAGACAGGAGCACTGCTCAACACTTAGGTGTGACTAAAGCCACTATTTTTAGGAGCATATTTATTCAACACCGAGGTGTGATGAGTATCACTGAGCTTGGGCGAAAGCCGAGCGAAAGGGAATCGCAAGCCGAGTATGAGTTTGGGGCCATCTGGACCGGTTGGGAAGTATTTCTGGCTTCCACGAACCGGGCCAGGGACCACAGAAATACCCGAGGTGGGACAGGTGGAGGACAGGGACCTGGCTCGGAAGGCCCGAAGGTGGCCTGAAGCAGGGTCTGAGTGTTGTGTACAACACTTACCTGTCTCCACGAGATGGCCAGAGATGCGTGAGAAGGCTGATGACAGGGTCCTTGAACCACTGGCGAACAAGAGGGGGCTGAGGGGTGCAAGCTTTACAGGGTCGCACAACACCAGACTTACTGTCTTGGGACCCAGGAACAGAGGCATTTGCTCTTTCTTTGAAGTGTGGGTACTGCTTCCTCTGCTCTTTTGGGAACAAGCGGTGGAACAGACACGGACACAAATGAAGACTCCACCCAGCCCTCACCCGGGGGAGGGAGTGGATCGATGACCAACTCCAAGAACATCTTCCTCCATCCCTGAGCGCCCCGCTCAGGAATGCTTTCGCTTGCCATCTGACTTGGAAGCGCCTGGAGCGGGCTGGGCATCCCTACTGTGGCTGGCTCCATGCTGAGGCCTGACCTGAGGCTACTGCGGAGGCCCAGTGGGAGTAGCGGCAAGGGAATTCCCTCAGCGATGAGCAGGTGGGGGAACTGCCACCGGCAGTGGGGTGAAGGCAGCAGCGGGCCGCCGGAGCAGGATATGCCGGATGGCCACCGTCTGCGTTTGGGTGGCAGAGAACTGTTGGGCGCAGTCGTTCGCTGCATTGTCGACTAGCCCAACCTTGGAAATTAGGGAGACCAGGTACTGAACCGCATCTGCCATATCAACCAGGCTGAGCCAACGATGCCGCTCCTGAACCACTGAGGTGGACATCGCCAGACTGATTGCGCACTCCATGACACTCATGTAGCCCTTTCAGCATAGCTGACAATTCTGGATTCGGCTTGGTCAACATTATACACCCGGAGGGAGACAGCACAGTTGAGTTAACATCTCCAGGTTCCAGCTTACCCTCCAATGCTACAATTGGCGTCCTGTCCTCTGGGGAAGCCCTGGGTAAAATGGCTGGCCCACCCATTACAGATGAAACAGCACGCTTCATGGGGGACTCAACCGGCTGCTGGTGGAAGGGAGGAGTGAGGAGCCCACAGGGAATGGTTACCGGGCGAGACATCCCGGTAACCATTCCCTGTGAACACTATCCTCCACATCCCAGAGAACATTATCTTCATATCACCCATCCCATGCGGCACCCAAGGGCAGGGCATGGTAATGGGGACTCCAGCTTCGCAGATGAAAGCAAGTCTTGATCTCAACACTGCGACAGTCATATTCCCGCAATGGGAAGATGAACCATCCTCAAAAGCTGCTTCAGCATGCTGTAAGCCCAAACATGTGATGCAACAATTGTGACCATCAGAAAGGAACAGGGAACAATCACATCCAGAAACGCACAGGTGGAATGACATCTTGAAAAAGATGTACACGCACCCGTGTTTCTCTTTCAGGAAATAGGACCCAGTGCCGGAGCACACAGGATAATGACTGCGGCAACACTGAACATTGAACTGAAACAGTGAAGCACTCACCTTTCTGCCCTCTAACCAGCCATCAACAAACATAAACATTCAGAAATGTGTTGCTGTTTAAACAGCAGTTGAGAGCACAAAGCTTGCAATCAACACTGCACTCTTCCAGAAGAACACCGACACACTCACTGCTTGTAAACAACAGCACTCTCTTCATAGACATCAAGAGGCCCCGAAGCGAAAGGCAACTAGTGTGTGCATCCACTTCCGTATTTATACCTGTGCCGCTGGGGTGGAGAACGCCAATTCCATTTGCTCGTTCAATAGTACTCGAAGCTGACTAGCTTCCTGGCTTGATCCCCATTCAGTTGACGTCAACTACATCTGACATACTCGACTGTACGGGACCTACTTTTGTGATTCTTTTCCAACCTTTCTGAACCTTGAAAAATATGCAACACAATTATAATTGGGGGTTTGGGGAGAGCAACTAGCAGAATTTCTTTAATCTCCAAATTTTTCTTTCTGTGATCCAAGGAAGAAGGCTATACAAATCAACATGGGGGTGAATGAATATTGAGATAATATATTTGGATGAATTAGCTATTCCGATGACTAAGCACAAATTGAAGTTTGCATAGAAACGTTAAGCATTATCTTATCATGGCATTCTATATGCAGAGTGCTCAGTTTAGAGGACACCTTGGGCACCTTGAGACAGTGCTCTTGATCATATCGTAAGTCTGGATGACATTTCCAAACTCGGACTGGTGATTTCTCTGTCTCAAGGCCCTCCTTTCATCATGTCTTACTAGCTCCTGGAGTCGAGCTGGTTTATGAGTTTCATAATTCCCAGGACTAACAGTGGCTTGGGGGTCCATAAATGTCTCTCCATCAGCTATGCTACGAGACAAGTGCATAGCCTCTCAATGAGCCTATTTCGCAATGCCAAAACCTGATAGGGAGCAAAAATATTAATATAGATGCAACTTTGACATTTTTCCCCTGCTCTTGCAAACCACACTCAAAATTTGTAGTAATAATGTGCTGGTCCCCTCTGAGAATAGTGTTGAAAGGCAAAGTCAAAGAGGTCAGTCCATCAATAATAACCTGAAACAGCTACTTTGGCTAAATGACTGATATCTCTAAACACGTTCTGGATTGCTCTGAAAACCGGCCTTGTCAGAGCACATTTGCTCTTACATTTTTTCCCTTTCGCTGTTTCACTCAGCAGGATAAATTGGCATCCACTAAACTAAAGGTCATCCGCAAAATTGTCTCGGTAATATAGGCGCTTTCCATTCCTCCATACTTCCCATAAAAAGGGAAGACAGGTTGTTTATGCCGACACAAATCCTAAATGATGGCTTTACGACAAGCTTCATAAAGAGAACCATGGCCCGAGTTCATCGATTTACGCATTTGCTTATTCATCTTCGACATTAAGCATCCGACCCTCGGCTTCTCACCACCACACACACGTCATGCCACCAAAAGCAACCTCTTCTAGAACACAGAGTAAAATAATGCCTTCTCTGGTATACACAAACAAATGAGTGTCCCTGGCTGTGGTTCCAAAACACTGGTGACGCTCATATACAAAGAAAAGAGGCCAGCTCAATGGAAAGAAAAGAAAAATACATATGAAATATGCATTATAAATTGAGTAAATAAGTAAATAAAAATTAAGTAGGACATCTAAATATCTCCATTTGGTATCATGACAAATTAAATTAAATAGAACTAGTTAAGGTTTCTCAAATAATTGAGTATGCAAATCATAAATATAAAAATATATATATTTATGACTGATGAAAATTTGTCATTTGAAAACATTAAAAATAGTAACTCCTAATTATAAACAAAGCATTTATTTAACCAATATTATTTTGTTTGGATATTGTGGGATCTGTGACATCACAGAACTGCCAACTGTATTGGATCTGACCATAGGTACATTGTGAACTGTAAGCAAACAGTTCTGAATGTCAGAATGGGAAAGAAAGTTGATTTAAGTAATTTTGAGCTGGCATGGTTGTTTGTGCCAGATGGTCTGAGTCCACAGTTCCAAAGGTCTCAGTATTTCACAATCTGCTCAGTTATTGGTATTTTCATGCACAACCATTTTTAAGGTTTACAAATAATGGTGTGAAAAGGGAAAAACATCCAGTATGCAACAGTCCTTTGGGGCGAAAATGCCTTGTTGATGCTAGAGGTCAGAGGAGAATGGGCCGACTGATTCAAGCTGATAGAAGAGCAACTTTGACTGAAATAACCACTCGTTACAACCGAGGTATGCAGCAAAGCATTTGTGAAGCCAAAACACACACAACATTGAGGCGGATGGGCAACAACAGCAGAAGACCCCACCAGGTATCAGTCATCTCCACTACAAATATGAAAAAGAGGCTAGAATTTGCTAGAGCTCAACAAAATTGGACATTTGAAGACTGGAAAAATGTTGCCTGGTCTAATGAGTCTTGATATCTGTCTGAATGAGACATTCAGATGGTAGAGTCATAATTTGGCGTAAACAGAATGAGAACATGGATCCATCATGCCTTGTTACCACTGTGCAGGCTGGTGGTGTGGGGGATGTTTTCTTGGCACACTTTAGGCCCCTTAATGCCAATTGGGTATCATTTAACCGTGAGCATTGTTTCTGACCATGTTCATCCCTTTGGCCACCATGTACACATCCTCTGATGGCTACTTCCAGCAGGATAATGCACCATGTCACAAAGCTCGAATCATTTCATTGGTTTCTTGAACATGACAATGAGTTCACTGTGCTAAAATGGCCCCCACAGTCACCAGATCTCAACCCAATTGAGCATCTTTGTGATGTGGTGGAACGGGAGCTTCATGCCCTGGATGTGCATCCCACAAATCTCCTTTAACTGCAAGATGCTATCCTACCAATATGGGCCAACATTTCTAAAGAATGCTTTCAGCACCTTGTTGAATCAATGCCACGTAGAATTAAGGCAGTTCTTAAGGTGAAAGTGGGTCAAACACTGTATTAGTATGGTGTTCCTAATAATCCTTTAGATGAGTGTATATAACATATATCTAATTTCATAATTTATAATTTTATAATTTAATCTCATAATTTTCCTTTTATGTGGTTTGGCTTATGTTTCATTCTCTCTTCTAAACTATGTTGGTCTGAAACATGACTTGCATACTATGGGTAACCAAAATCGTGTGTGTAGAATATTTAGTCTCTATAAAATCCAATCCTCATCCCCCATTTGTTAATTTACATTACATTTTGCTAACTTTATAATGCATTGGTATAATAAGAATCTTGTAGATTATTTTCGTAAACACCCAATGAAATTCAAAATTCAAATGTGCTGCTAGGGTCGTAAAAGGGGTCGTAAAAAACTCCCTCCAAAGGGTTTGCAGTGGCTCATGCACCTCCAGCTCTTAGCCTCTGGCTCTCTTACTCTCTTGTGCCTTCCTGAGAAATCATAACGTGATGATGATGCTGAACAACTAGTCCCTCAATGACTCCCAAGCTTGTGCCAGGCTGCGGCCTTGTCTTTCCATTCACCAAAGATCCTCTGACTACCACTGGTTCTCTCTCTTCAAGACCACATCAGCAAAGATCAACTGGAGCCTCAACAAATTAGACAAATAACAAAAAACAAAAAAGTCCTCTGGCCGGACCCAGCACAAAGACAGGGTGCTGAGGCAGAATGAGTCTGTGATTGACTTTGATTTTGCAATTGCACAACATTTTGTGTAATACGCTTTCATTAGAGTTTTTGTTCTTTAGGCTTTATTTTTAAACTGAAAATACAGACATTCAATACTGTATTACTTGCAGTAGCCTACTTACAGTATCCAATATATTTGCTGTACTGAGTACTTTTTTTATCGGTAACTACATGCCCTGGATGCCGTGTTCTCAATTTTATGATGTAGTGTCCAATGAATGCTGATGAGTGTTTATATACCAAGAAGAGTCAGAGGTTTTGTGAATGTAGTTTAAAGACTGGGTTTTGTGTTTAAAGTTTTGAGAATGTGGGTGAAGGTTTCAAGAATTCAAGGTTTATTAGCAATTGTGAAAAACTGTATAAATTGAACAAACACAAAAAAGATTGAGTATAAGTATAGGCCAAGTATACTTAGACTTTTCTGTCAGTATAAGTTAAGAATAGTCAAGTATGGTATACGCAATTTTAAGTATACTGTATTTCTAAGAAGTAGGTGAAGCATATTTCAAAAGTAGACTGAAAAAGGCCTATACTTTCTTATTTTTAGTTTAAAAGAAGTACACTATATAGCACACTATACGGATGCACCATTTAGTGACCAAAAAACGTCTTTTTTTCCATTGAGCATCTTCTTCCATGCATTCATTTGTTTATTCATGCCTTCGTTCATTCATTTATGCGTGTGTGCATTCGTTTGTGCATTAACTAATGCATTAGACCAACAAAACTTGGTATATTAGACTATATACGTGTATAATGCTCAGTGGCATTTTTATAGTGTAAAATTCTGCTGTCTTATGTCACAGCTCATGTTAGTCAAAGTATACTCACATTACGGCATTCATGGGTCAGCTGATTGGATCAATTTTTGTCCAGAACTGATTGCTCAAGATAAAAGATGACAATCACATTGTGCACTTATGG